CGCACTGCCAGCACTGTACATCATTCTGGCATGCTGAGTTTACCCAGGCAAATGCACTTTCATCCCCATGTCTGTCTGCCATCGTATTTGCCTTGTATCAAACTGCTAACAAGCTTCATTCATTGTCCTCACATCCAGCTTGTGTATGAACAGCTCTGAAGAGATATTAAACCTGTATGAATGCAAGGTCCTATATCCTTGAAAGGAGTGGAAGTTCCCACTGCCAATCCATGTGCATTTCAAGGAAAGGACAAGGATAATGTAAGAGGATGCATTCAACCTCCAGAGAGCTGTGTAAGTTGTTTTGGGGGCTATCTGGGCAGGGGAGCTTGCAGCCTGCAGCAGGAACCAAGGACCCACCACAAATGTCTTTCAAACTGGTGAAAGTCACTTTGTTTCAGAACTAGCTGGCATATTATTATTATATTATAGCAGCATTCCCCTTTTCTTTCTCCAAGAAAAAGGTGCTGATTTGCTAAGTGGGTTAGTCAAATAAAGTCAAGTTTGCTTTTCCTTTCAAAGTTTGCCTGGCACAAGGAGTGGCTGCGTACAATTCCCAGGCCTGCCATTGTCCAGAGCACACTCCTAACAGAGGTACTGATTCATCTTGCAGCACCAGCCTGCTGCCAACATGTCCGCGTGCTGAGGAGGCATCCCCACTGACAGCTGCCAGCCAGTTCCTGTAGGCTGTCACCCTCCAAGCAGTGGGGAATGGATCAGAGACTTGTGTGATCTTCTCCAGGTTGTGATAAACATGGCATAATTTTGTAATGGCTAACTCTGCTAGATTCCTCTGATTAGGGACAAAAGCGAGAGAGAAAGAACTCAGGGTTTTCCGTAACTACTCTGGAAGCAGAAACTGACTGACCTGTGCTTCAAGGCTTCCAGGCTATGACTGGGAAGGTGACACACTACTGCTGCTGGCGTTGTCCCTGGATGGGAGTAGAGCAGCCTGTCAAACAAGGTGCAGGGAGCAGGCTGTAGACACAGTGGAGTATTTCTGAGCTGCTCCCATGTTCTTCCTTCTACTGACAACACATGTCCCTGCAACGATCTGGGGATGAAGAGGAAACAGCAAAGCTTCACCTTCCCAAAAAGATGTGATGGCATTGCAGGGAAGCTGCAGGCAGAGCTGTGCAGGGCTGCAAGGCAGTCCAGGATGACTGAGTCTGGTAAGGCTGGAGGTAACTGGTTGCGAGTTAGAAATCCTTTTCTGCCATTTGTGAACTGTTTTCTACTCATTTTTCAACTGTTCTGCACAAGCAGAGGATGGGGCAGGTAGAAGTAGTGCAGAAATATTAATTGGTAGGAACTACAGATGTTCTTGCTGCTTTCTGAGTGTTTCAGGACACCACACAACATGCTATGCGTAAGAGCAGCTCTTCTGGCAGCACAGGACAAATTGGATGTCACTTTATCGTGCAGATTCTGATATTATGATCAGTTTGCAAACTGTATTTTTAAGAATGTTGGTGCATTTAGCACTGATAAAGATATTTGCACGTTGCAGAGACAGCATGGGGCATGTAAGCAGTTTATTCCTCATAGAGGGAAGAAGCACCTATGTGCTACCTATTCACATAAAGACAGTTCTGTTTTCTTCCTGCAGTTGATGTGTTTTCTTCTTGCTTCCCAAAATCAACTGGTAGGGAGATGGAGCAACTGCAACTGCTTCTAAGGGATACAGTTTTATTCTACACGCTCAGAGCTTGTCATGAGCTCAGACAATGAAGCTGTTAAACACAGGATCAATTATATTATTCCTGCTTACAACATCACACACAGCAGCCAGCATCCTTGACATACGCACTTTGGCGCTGCTCTTGCTGGAGAAATAAGTACTGTCTATAGGAAAGAGGGAACAGAAAGGCGGCAGCCCCATGTGTTTTGTGGCCTTCCCCTGCCCTGGTTGGTCCCAGCTGCAGGAAGGGGGACTCACTGTTACAGAGGGCCCAGAGCAGCAGCCACTGGGTAGGGACCAGAAGTCCTTCAAGGGGCCCTGCTGGCCTGGCCTTTCAAGGTACCCTATCAGTCTTGGCACAGTCACGGAATGAGGGAACAGAAAGGCGGCAGCCCCATGTGTGCCAGTGGGGCCACACACTGCCCCCAAAGGCTTTAGAGGTGAATCGTGTTTCGATTTCCCTAACGGAGCCACCACTGAAAGGAGCCTGGATGTGGCTCTGGCCACGGCTCCTTCTTGCTGACAAGTGCAGGGCAATGCCCAAAACATGAGGGGTTTGGGCCCACTATCCTGCTGCGCAGAACGTCCTGAGCTGGGGACAGCAGCAGTGCCAGCAGGCTTCCAAGTCCTCCCCAGCTCTGTCACAGTCTCCTTTGTGACATCACAAAGCCAGCATGACATCAGTCGTGGCACAGTCACGCTGGCAGCCTCCCCAGCTCAGATACGCAGGGCAGCCGCTCTGTACTGGAGGTTACCTCTGGAGCTCCGCTCAAGGTAGCAGCCACTTTGTGTGTTGGATTGTTCCTTGGGAGAGAACAGGATGAAACTCACCCTGACTCTCTCCCTGACTGTGGCTCTGGCCATAGTTTCATTTATCTGGGATGGCTTTGGCCGTTCCAGCTCTCATGGCCTGGTCTCTGACAGCGAGCAAAAGCTGGCCTTCCCTGAAAAGCAGCTGCTCGCTGACACCCAGGGCCAGGCCTCCAACTGGCTCCATCAGCTTGGACTTCCTCGCAGATGGGTCTGGTTCAGGCTGAGCAGACTCAGTATTGCAGAGGTCCCAAAGCAGCAGACCAAAGGCACGGAACAGCAGGCCTTCACCGGGCCCTGGTGGTCTGGCCTTTCAATGCTCCCTATCAGGATCCGGAAGAGTGTCAGCAAGATGGTCCCTGCTGAGGAGCAGCAGCCTGTCAACACCGAGCACCAGGCTTCAAACTGGCCCTGTTTGCTTGGCCTCTCCTCTTGCCCCAGACGGGTCAGGTACAGGGTCGGCATAGTTGTCCGTGCAGAGGTCCCAAAGCAGCAGACCAAAGGCATGGAACAGCAGGCCTTCACCGGGCCCTGGTGGTCTGGCCTTTCAGTGCTCCCTGTCAGGATCCAGAAGAGTGTCAGCAAGATGGTCCCTGCTCAGGAGCAGCAGCCTGTCACCACCGAGCACCAGGCTTCAAACTGGCCCTGTTCGCTTGGCCTGTCCACTTGCCCCAGACGGGTCCGATACAGGGTTGGCAAAGTTGTCCGTGCAGAGGTCCCAAAGCAGCAGACCAAAGGCACGGAACAGCAGGCCTTCACCGGGCCCTGGTGGTCTGGCCTTTCAATGCTCCCTGTCAGGATCCAGAAGAGTGTCAGCAAGTTGGTCCCTGCTCAGGAGCAGCAGCCTGTCGCCACCGAGCACCAGGCTTCAAACTGGCCCTGTTGGCTTGGCCTGTCCACTTGCCCCAGACGGGTCCGGTACAGGGTCGGCAGAGTCATCACTGCAAAGGGCCTGAAGCAGGAGCCCCTGGGTATGGCGAAGAAGTCCTTCAGCTTGCCAAACCCCCTGGACCGCCTCTGGGACTACACTGCTCGGCACACATTAGCTTCGTTCATTACGGGGGCGTTGGTAGTCATCTTCATTGAGTGCCTACTGTGGATTGCTCATCGTCTCTGGAGATAAGCAGAAAGACCTCTGGAACAGGTGAGTGATTGAGATGCATTGCAGAGGAAAGGGGGCTGCTGGTGGGGAGAGGGAACCACAAAGACCTTGTCCGTAAAAGCTTTCAAGGAGAGCAGGCTCCCAAAGGTCCAGTACCTCTCCCCAAGGACTCGCTCATTGGCAGGGTGACACCCACCGGAAGCCCCCTGTGGAACACGGGGCCTGCTGGAGGTGGTGCGAGCCCCATGTGCTGCACTGAGCAGTCCTGTGAGGGTGAACTACCTCCAAAGGAAGCCAAGCCCTGAAAAATTATGCTCTGTAATACGAGCCTTTTTCCCTCTCACTGTGATCGTCCCCTGTTCACTTTCAGAGAACAGAGGAAATGGTGTGAGCTTGTAAGAAAAAACTGTTCAGAGCAACAGCTGTGAGCAAGAAAAAACTGTTCAGACCAGCAGCTGTGGAGCAAGACAAGTGGCATGAGAACCAAGGACGCCCTTAGAAGAAGAACGAACATCTCACGACTCTAATTGGATAAGCTTCTGTGTGAACGACTGAAGAGTGTTTTTGCAGAATGCTCTGCTAACATGTATAAACAAAGTAGTGCTTAACAATAAAGCAGAATAACAGCTTTTAACCACACTGGTGTGCTGTTGTGTCTCTAGCGTGTCCTGGGAGTCCAGAGACTTCCCCACATGAGCTTCCATGGGAAAATGTCAGAGAAAGGAGACTGCTAATGGTTACGACCTGGTTTGAGATGAATAAAAGGCACACCTACTGGAGGACGTGTCATTTTGGTGCCAAGGGGCCCGGGGTATGAGTACCACAAAAGGTGGTGCTGCAAGAGACAGCCGTTGTGTGCGGGTTTGGGGGCACAGGCCTGGAGTAAAGGGAGGGAACTGGGCTGGGAGAAAAAAGGCATCTATGACTGTGAGGAGGCACAGGCACAGTGAGCCAGAAGAAGAGAGCACATCCTGATAGGATGCCAATGTTCCACGTGAGATAATCTGGAGTGACCTTGAGTACACTGTGAGGTCCCGTGTCCTAATAGGCATGCTGGCTAGCCTGTAAGGCACCTTTAAGGCACAGGATCAATGGTATTAATCCTGCTTACAACATCACACACAGCAGCCAGCATCCTTGACATACGCACTTTGGCGCTGCTCTTGCTGGAGAAATAAGTACTGTCTTTAGGAATGAGGGAACAGAAAGGCGGCAGCCCCATGTGTTTTGGGGCCTTGCCCTGCCCTGGTTGGTCCCAGCTGCAGGAAGGGGGACTCACTGTTACAGAGGGCCCAGAGCAGCAGCCACTGGGTAGGGACCAGAAGTCCTTCAAGGGGCCCTGCTGGCCTGGCCTTTCAAGGTACCCTATCAGTCTTGGCACAGTCACGCTGGCAGCCTCCCCAGCTCAGATACGCAGGGCAGCCGCTCTGTACTGGAGGTTACCTCTGGAGCTCCGCTCAAGGTAGCAGCCACTTTGTGTGTTGGATTGTTCCTTGGGAGAGAACAGGATGAAACTCACCCTGACTCTCTCCCTGACTGTGGCTCTGGCCATAGTTTCATTTATCTGGGATGGCTTTGGCCGTTCCAGCTCTCATGGCCTGGTCTCTGACAGCGAGCAAAAGCTGGCCTTCCCTGAAAAGCAGCTGCTCGCTGACACCCAGGGCCAGGCCTCCAACTGGCTCCATCAGCTTGGACTTCCTTGCAGATGGGTCTGGTCCAGGCTGAGCAGAGTCAGTATTGCAGAGGTCCCAAAGCAGCAGACCAAAGGCACAGAAGAGCAGGCCTTCACGGGGCCCTGGTGGTCTGGCCTTTCAGTGCTCCCTGTCAGGATCCAGAAGAGTGTCAGCAAGATGGTCCCTGCTCAGGAGCAGCAGCCTGTCACCACCGAGCACCAGGCTTCAAACTGGCCCTGTTGGCTTGGCCTGTCCACTTGCCCCAGACGGGTCCGATATAGGGTTGGCAAAGTTGTCCGTGCAGAGGTCCCAAAGCAGCAGACCAAAGGCACGGAACAGCAGGCCTTCACCGGGCCCTGGTGGTCTGGCCTTTCAATGCTCCCTGTCAGGATCCAGAAGAGTGTCAGCAAGTTGGTCCCTGCTCAGGAGCAGCAGCCTGTCGCCACCGAGCACCAGGCTTCAAACTGGCCCTGTTGGCTTGGCCTGTCCACTTGCCCCAGACGGGTCCGGTACAGGGTCGGCAGAGTCATCACTGCAAAGGGCCTGAAGCAGGAGCCCCTGGGTATGGCGAAGAAGTCCTTCAGCTTGCCAAACCCCCTGGACCTCCTCTGGGACTACACTGCTCGGCACACATTAGCTTCGTTCATTACGGGGGCGTTGGTAGTCATCTTCATTGAGTGCCTACTGTGGATTGCTCATCGTCTCTGGAGATAAGCAGAAAGACCTCTGGAACAGGTGAGTGATTGAGATGCATTGCAGAGGAAAGGGGGCTGCTGGTGGGGAGAGGGAACCACAAAGACCTTGTCCGTGAAAGCTTTCAAGGAGAGCAGGCTCCCAAAGGTCCAGTACCTCTCCCCAAGGACTCGCTCATTGGCAGGGTGACACCCACCGGAAGCCCCCTGTGGAACACGGGGCCTGCTGGAGGTGGTGCGAGCCCCATGTGCTGCACTGAGCAGTCCTGTGAGGGTGAACTACCTCCAAAGGAAGCCAAGCCCTGAAAAATTACGCTCTGTAATACGAGCCTTTTTCCCTCTCACTGTGATCGTCCCCTGTTCACTTTCAGAGAACAGAGGAAATGGTGTGAGCTTGTAAGAAAAAACTGTTCAGAGCAACAGCTGTGAGCAAGAAAAAACTGTTCAGACCAGCAGCTGTGGAGCAAGACAAGTGGCATGAGAACCAAGGACGCCCTTAGAAGAAGAACGAACATCTCACGACTCTAATTGGATAAGCTTCTGTGTGAACGACTGAAGAGTGTTTTTGCAGAATGCTCTGCTAACATGTATAAACAAAGTAGTGCTTAACAATAAAGCAGAATAACAGCTTTTAACCACACTGGTGTGCTGTTGTGTCTCTAGCGTGTCCTGGGAGTCCAGAGACTTCCCCACATGAGCTTCCATGGGAAAATGTCAGAGAAAGGAGACTGCTAATGGTTACGACCTGGTTTGAGATGAATAAAAGGCACACCTACTGGAGGACGTGTCATTTTGGTGCCAAGGGGCCCGGGGTATGAGTACCACAAAAGGTGGTGCTGCAAGAGACAGCCGCTGTGTGCGGGTTTGGGGGCACAGGCCTGGAGTAAAGGGAGGGAACTGGGCTGGGAGAAAAAAGGCATCTATGACTGTGAGGAGGCACAGGCACAGTGAGCCAGAAGAAGAGAGCACATCCTGATAGGATGCCAATGTTCCACGTGAGATAATCTGGAGTGACCTTGAGTACACTGTGAGGTCCCGTGTCCTAATAGGCATGCTGGCTAGCCTGTAAGGCACCTTTAAGGCACAGGATCAATGGTATTAATCCTGCTTACAACATCACACACAGCAGCCAGCATCCTTGACATACGCACTTTGGCGCTGCTCTTGCTGGAGAAATAAGTACTGTCTTTAGGAATGAGGGAACAGAAAGGCGGCAGCCCCATGTGTTTTGGGGCCTTGCCCTGCCCTGGTTGGTCCCAGCTGCAGGAAGGGGGACTCACTGTTACAGAGGGCCCAGAGCAGCAGCCACTGGGTAGGGACCAGAAGTCCTTCAAGGGGCCCTGCTGGCCTGGCCTTTCAAGGTACCCTATCAGTCTTGGCACAGTCACGCTGGCAGCCTCCCCAGCTCAGATACGCAGGGCAGCCGCTCTGTACTGGAGGTTACCTCTGGAGCTCCGCTCAAGGTAGCAGCCACTTTGTGTGTTGGATTGTTCCTTGGGAGAGAACAGGATGAAACTCACCCTGACTCTCTCCCTGACTGTGGCTCTGGCCATAGTTTCATTTATCTGGGATGGCTTTGGCCGTTCCAGCTCTCATGGCCTGGTCTCTGACAGCGAGCAAAAGCTGGCCTTCCCTGAAAAGCAGCTGCTCGCTGACACCCAGGGCCAGGCCTCCAACTGGCTCCATCAGCTTGGACTTCCTTGCAGATGGGTCTGGTCCAGGCTGAGCAGAGTCAGTATTGCAGAGGTCCCAAAGCAGCAGACCAAAGGCACAGAAGAGCAGGCCTTCACGGGGCCCTCGTGTTCTGGCCTTTCAGTGCTCCCTATCAGGATCCAGAAGAGTGTCAGCAAGATGGTCCCTGCTCAGGAACAGCAGCCTGTCAACACTGACCACTAGGCTTCAAACTGGCCCTATAGGCTTGGCCTCTCTTCCTGCCCCAAATGGCTTTGGTACAGGGTCAGCAGTGTTCCTCTTACAGATGGCCTGTAAGACCAACCCCTGGGCACCAAGCAGAAGGCCTTCAAGAAGCCCTACTGGCCTGGCCTTTCAGCGTACTTCATCAGGATCTGCGAAAAGGGTCAGCAAGATGGCTGTGCCTGCGGAGGATCAGCATTGGACACATTGTCCCATGGATGTTTGGCTTCCCAGTCACAGAGAGACCAGAGCACAAAGCAAGGCTCTGAATTTGCACGTGCAGTCTGTATGTAGGATGTTAAGCATGACAGGGTCATTTGTAGCTGGTTCACCACACCTCCAGACCAGCGCTGCAGGGATCACACCGCTGGCTCACCAGTTTTCCTTCCCAACAGTGAAGCAGCAGCAGCAGCCGCTTATCGTCGTGCTCCAGAGTTTGCGCTGCCACCTCACACGCGGGCGCGGTGCGAGGGACCAGCTCTCCTCACCAGCAGCCTCCCGAGGCGATCCCCGTCCCCGAAGCGCAGCGTGGGTTGAGCGGCACGCGACGGGATCCCCGCGGGGCTCGGAGCTCACATCCCGCCCTCAGCCCCAGAGCAGCGGGCCGGGACCGCGCCGCGGCTCCGTTCCGCTCGGGCGTTGCCAGCGGCTCCGCCTCCGCAGCCGCCTCAGGTGCCGGCGAGGGGGCGACTCCCGCCACGCGAGCACCGGCCTCGGGATCCGAGCACCGCGCTGCCGCTCCGCTCCTGCCCGCCGGCTCAGGTAGGAGTCCCGTCGGGGCGCCGTCCGCGCCGCGGGCGGGAACGCGCCGCGTCTCGCCTCATGTCGCCTCGCCCCGTCCCGCTCAGAGGCCCTCGGGGCGGCTCGGGGTGCCGGGAGCTGAGCGGTGCCGTTCGGGTGGTCCGTGAGACGGCGGTGCGCGCTCTCGGTGCCCGCGGGGCGCGGAGGACAGCGCTGTGTTTGTGCTGACGGATCTCTGCAGCGGCTGCACAGCAGCGGGGTCACTGCTGGGCTCACACAGCCGCCCCGTTCCCGTGCTACAGGCGTGCCCTGTGTGCGCGCCGCGATGCGATGTGGCTGTGGCGGTGTTTCGGCTGCGAGGCTGCGGTGGCATTGGCAAAGTTGCATCTGCGTACTGCCGAGTGCGAGCACGCAGCTCAAAGCTGTTCTTTCCTGTTATTTGCACCTGGTGGTGACGGTGCGCGTGTTTCCTGAGCCCTGGGTGCTGAGCGCTGCTTCCAAGGCTGTGCTATCGGGAGGGTTTGTAACGTAGCTCAGGAGGCAGGAGCACACACCGGCCTCCGAACCAAACTGACTTGTAATTCTGACAGAACTGTGCTGCTCTCATTTCAGATTGGATGCACTAAGTCACAACTAGAGAGTATAGTGGGTCCTAGGCTTTATTATCTCAGTTTCTTACTACATCTCAGGTGTAGCAAAGCAGCAAAGGCAGCGTTGATGAGCACGCTGGCTGTCGTTATCCCATAATGTTGGTGTTTCAAGGAGCTTTTCCTGCGGTCTGATGCCGGTCAAAAAGGGCCGATGACAGAGCTGCATGGCAGCACTGCGTGTTTTGGGGCTTTACCTTGCGCTGGCTGGTCCCAGCTGCAGGAAGGGGATGTGTGTCTTTCCGGGCCTCCCCAGCACACAGAGAAATATCCCAAGGCAGTCATTTCAGCTGTGCTTTGGGCCACAGAATTGTGTCGGGGGCTCATAGTTCTGCAGTGCCTAGTGAACTGTTCAGCTTCTGGCTTTCCTCTCAAGTGGGCTTTGCACACTGCCCCCAAAGGCTTTTGAGGTGAATCGTGTTTTGATTTCCCTAACGGAGCCACCACTGAAAGAAGCCTGGATGTGGCTCTGGCCACGGCTCCTTCTTGCTGACAAGTGCAGGGCAATGCCCAAAACATGAGGGGTTTGGGCCCACTATCCTGCTGGGCAGAACGTCCTCTGCTGGGGACAGCAGCAGTGCCAGCAGGCTTCCAAGTCCTCCCCAGCTCTGTCACAGTCTCCTTTGTGACATCACAAAGCCGGCATGACATCAGTCGTGGCACAGTCACGCTGGCAGCCTCCGGCAGCTCAGATACGCAGGGCAGCCGCTCTGTACTGGAGGTTACCTCTGGAGCTCCGCTCAAGGTAGCAGCCACTTTGTGTGTTGGATTGTTCCTTGGGAGAGAACAGGATGAAACTCACCCTGACTCTCTCCCTGACTGTGGCTCTGGCCATAGTTTCATTTATCTGGGATGGCTTTGGCCGTTCCAGCTCTCATGGCCTGGTCTCTGACAGCGAGCAAAAGCTGGCCTTCCCTGAAAAGCAGCTGCTCGCTGACACCCAGGGCCAGGCCTCCAACTGGCTCCATCAGCTTGGACTTCCTCGCAGATGGGTCTGGTTCAGGCTGAGCAGACTCAGTATTGCAGAGGTCCCAAAGCAGCAGACCAAAGGCACGGAACAGCAGGCCTTCACCGGGCCCTGGTGGTCTGGCCTTTCAATGCTCCCTATCAGGATCCAGAAGAGTGTCAGCAAGATGGTCTCTGCTGAGGAGCAGCAGCCTGTCGACACCGAGCACCAGGCTTCAAACTGGCCCTGTTTGCTTGGCCTATCCACTTGCCCCAGATGGGTCAGGTACAGGGTCGGCAAAGTTGTCCGTGCAGAGGTCCCAAAGCAGCAGACCAAAGGCACAGAACTGCAGGCCTTGATGGGGCCCTGGTTGTGTGGCCTTCCAATGCTCCCTGTCAGGATCCAGAAGAGTGTCAGCAAGATGGTCCCTGCTGAGGAGCAGCAGCCTGTCACCACCGAGCACCAGGCTTCAAACTGGCCCTGTTCGCTTGGCCTGTCCACTTGCCCCAGACGGGTCCGATACAGGGTCGGCAAAGTTGTCCGTGCAGAGGTCCCAAAGCAGCAGACCAAAGGCACGGAACAGCAGGCCTTCACCGGGCCCTGGTGGTCTGGCCTTTCAATGCTCCCTGTCAGGATCCAGAAGAGTGTCAGCAAGTTGGTCCCTGCTCAGGAGCAGCAGCCTGTCGCCACCGAGCACCAGGCTTCAAACTGGCCCTGTTGGCTTGGCCTGTCCACTTGCCCCAGACGGGTCCGGTACAGGGTCGGCAGAGTCATCACTGCAAAAGGCCTGAAGCAGGAGCCCCTGGGTATGGCGAAGAAGTCCTTCAGCTTGCCATACCCCCTGGACCTCCTCTGGGACTACACTGCTCGGCACACATTAGCTTCGTTCATTACGGGGGCGTTGGTAGTCATCTTCATTGAGTGCCTACTGTGGATTGCTCATCGTCTCTGGAGATAAGCAGAAAGACCTCTGGAACAGGTGAGTGATTGAGATGCATTGCAGAGGAAAGGGGGCTGCTGGTGGGGAGAGGGAACCACAAAGACCTTGTCCGTGAAAGCTTTCAAGGAGAGCAGGCTCCCAAAGGTCCAGTACCTCTCCCCAAGGACTCGCTCATTGGCAGGGTGACACCCACCGGAAGCCCCCTGTGGAACACGGGGCCTGCTGGAGGTGGTGCGAGCCCCATGTGCTGCACTGAGCAGTCCTGTGAGGGTGAACTACCTCCAAAGGAAGCCAAGCCCTGAAAAATTACGCTCTGTAATACGAGCCTTTTTCCCTCTCACTGTGATCGTCCCCTGTTCACTTTCAGAGAACAGAGGAAATGGTGTGAGCTTGTAAGAAAAAACTGTTCAGAGCAACAGCTGTGAGCAAGAAAAAACTGTTCAGACCAGCAGCTGTGGAGCAAGACAAGTGGCATGAGAACCAAGGACGCCCTTAGAAGAAGAACGAACATCTCACGACTCTAATTGGATAAGCTTCTGTGTGAACGACTGAAGAGTGTTTTTGCAGAATGCTCTGCTAACATGTATAAACAAAGTAGTGCTTAACAATAAAGCAGAATAACAGCTTTTAACCACACTGGTGTGCTGTTGTGTCTCTAGCGTGTCCTGGGAGTCCAGAGACTTCCCCACATGAGCTTCCATGGGAAAATGTCAGAGAAAGGAGACTGCTAATGGTTACGACCTGGTTTGAGATGAATAAAAGGCACACCTACTGGAGGACGTGTCATTTTGGTGCCAAGGGGCCCGGGGTATGAGTACCACAAAAGGTGGTGCTGCAAGAGACAGCCGCTGTGTGCTGGTTTGGGGGCACAGGCCTGGAGTAAAGGGAGGGAACTGGGCTGGGAGAAAAAAGGCATCTATGACTGTGAGGAGGCACAGGCACAGTGAGCCAGAAGAAGAGAGCACATCCTGATAGGATGCCAATGTTCCACGTGAGATAATCTGGAGTGACCTTGAGTACACTGGGAGGTCCCGTGTCCTAATAGGCACGCTGGCTAGCCTGTAAGGCACCTTTAAGGCACAGGATCAATGGTATTAATCCTGCTTACAACATCACACACAGCAGCCAGCATCCTTGACATACGCACTTTGGCGCTGCTCTTGCTGGAGAAATAAGTACTGTCTTTAGGAATGAGGGAACAGAAAGGCGGCAGCCCCATGTGTTTTGGGGCCTTGCCCTGCCCTGGTTGGTCCCAGCTGCAGGAAGGGGGACTCACTGTTACAGAGGGCCCAGAGCAGCAGCCACTGGGTAGGGACCAGAAGTCCTTCAAGGGGCCCTGCTGGCCTGGCCTTTCAAGGTACCCTATCAGTCTTGGCACAGTCACGCTGGCAGCCTCCGGCAGCTCAGATACGCAGGGCAGCCGCTCTGTACTGGAGGTTACCTCTGGAGCTCCGCTCAAGGTAGCAGCCACTTTGTGTGTTGGATTGTTCCTTGGGAGAGAACAGGATGAAACTCACCCTGACTCTCTCCCTGACTGTGGCTCTGGCCATAGTTTCATTTATCTGGGATGGCTTTGGCCGTTCCAGCTCTCATGGCCTGGTCTCTGACAGCGAGCAAAAGCTGGCCTTCCCTGAAAAGCAGCTGCTCGCTGACACCCAGGGCCAGGCCTCCAACTGGCTCCATCAGCTTGGACTTCCTTGCAGATGGGTCTGGTTCAGGCTGAGCAGAGTCAGTATTGCAGAGGTCCCAAAGCAGCAGACCAAAGGCACGGAACAGCAGGCCTTCACCGGGCCCTGGTGGTCTGGCCTTTCAATGCTCCCTATCAGGATCCAGAAGAGTGTCAGCAAGATGGTCCCTGCTCAGGAGCAGCAGCCTGTCGCCACCGAGCACCAGGCTTCAAACTGGCCCTGTTGGCTTGGCCTCTCCTCTTGCCCCAGATGGGTCCGGTACAGGGTCGGCATAGTTGTCCGTGCAGAGGTCCCAAAGCAGCAGACCAAAGGCACGGAACTGCAGGCCTTCACCGGGCCCTGGTGGTCTGGCCTTTCAGTGCTCCCTGTCTGGATCCAGAAGAGTGTCAGCAAGATGGTCCCTGCTCAGGAGTAGCAGCCTGTCGCCACCAAGCACCAGGCTTCAAACTGGCTCTGCTGGCTTGGCCTGTCCACTTGGCCCAGATAGGCCTGGTGCAGGGTCGGCAGATTTGTCAGAGGTCTCAAAGCAGAGGTCTCAAAGCGGCATGGAACAGCAGGCCTTCAAGGGGTCCTGGTGGTCTGGCCTTTCAGTGTTTGATTGTTCGAGGGTGCACTCAATGCCATCGTCTGTGTGACTGATGAAGATGTTGAAGAGCACCGGTCCTAAGACCAAACCCTGAGAGACACTGCTTGTGACCAGCCTTCACCCTGACACAGAACCATTGATCACAACCCTTTGACTGCGTCCAGCCAGTCAATTCCTAGTCCATCAAACAGTCCATCCTTCAAATCCACACCTCTCCAATTTAGAGAGAAGGACGTGGTGATGGACCATGTCAAAGACCTTGCAGAAGTCCAGATAGATGACATCCATCGGCCTTCCCCTATCCACTGAAGCTATCACTCCACCACAGAACACCACCAGATTGGTCAGGCACAATCTGCCCTTGGTGAAGCCATACTGGCTGTCTCGAATCACCTCCTTATCTCGTATGTGCCTTAACATAGCTTCTAGGAGGATCTGCTCCATCGTCTTCCCAGGCACACAGGTGAAGCTTACCAGCCTGTAGTTCCCCAGGAAGTTTTGCAGTGCTGAGTGAGCTTTGATGAATCCGTGTTTTGATTGCTCCGTCCTTGTTACTGTTTGGTCTTTGACACTATCAGGCTTATATGTTTGGGAGTGCTAGTTAGTTAAAACCTATGAAGTATAGAGGCACCTGTAATTCTACTTAGCAACCCTCCTGTATCACAGCATAGTGGACATCAGAGCACAAAAAAGCCAAGTAACTCACTCGCTCATGGCAAATGCTCTGCTGCAGATGTGAGGACAGAAGACAGCAGAACAAACTTCACCTGTACTGCAGAGCACTGGCCCTGTCTCCTCGTGATTCTGGTTTGTAGGTGGTTCCTACAAGACAAAACCAGTCTCCTGGTTTACTTGGTTTACTCAGGTAAACCAAGTTTACTCAGGACAGCAGCTTGCTTTCACACAAAGGTGAAAGGTTTTAGACCTGGTGGTGTACAAAGAGTGGTAAATATTTCTTGCGTGCTAAACCTTGTTATGGTCAGACAGTAGCTCTAAGTCCTATGAATCCCAAGTAGCCAAGCTGGCTTTATTAACAGCACAGTTAGAAGCCAGGTCACAGCTCCCTGCAAGGAGCTGTGTTTCCATGCAGCACTACCCTGCTCCCAGCCCTCCACCTGCAGAAGGACCAGTAGTGAATGCCACATGTCCTGGAATAGAGTTGCTGCGCATCTGCTCCGTGTGTTGCTGTGAGTTTATTGTGCAGCCTTGGTATATTCAGTAGAGAAACACTCAAAGGTATTTCACAATTACCAGTTTATCCCAGGTGAAATCAAATGAGAACTGTAAATCTGGAAAGTAAACAAGATGGGAACTTCTATTTCCTTACATTTTTTGCTATTGTAAAACTAAAGTAACAGATTTCTTCTTCCTGAGTTTTGTTCTGACCCTGAAATTGAGGATGTTGGGCAGGAAATGTGAGAGGCATGGTTCCAGAGATGGAGAAACACATGCCTCGAGGAAATCCGTCTGACAACTGCCCCTGCCTGCTGCCTTGCATATTGTCATTGTGAATGCAGAGAGCTGATGGAACAGGGACAACAGCCACAGGTTGAGTTTTGAGTTTTGTTCCACATCCACACCTGTTAAGAATTCCTACGTTCTAGATCTTTGATCTAGATCTAGATCTCCTAAATCCTAGACTTTTTAAAGCTCACATCTAAACAGGTAGTAATAAACAGACTGCCTTGCTTAAAGGTTATTCTTCTTTAGTTGTCATGCATATTATATATGCAACTTAATAACTGTGTGCAAATTCCAGACTAAATCCACTACAAAAAATCTAATTGTGAAGATTACTGGACTCAGTAATAAATCAGTTTTAGTTTTTACTGTAACTAAGAAAGAAAATATTTTCTTTCTGTTTATGCTTTTGACTTATTTTTATTCTAGATCTAGCAATTCAATTGTTTGGATGACACTTCAAAAAAAAAGGTTCCTTGCAACCATTGACAGTGTTGAGATGAGAGACAGAGGCAGCTACAGAGAACAACTTCAGAGGACAGAGCTGTGAGAACACAAGGAAACAAGCAAAATGTGGAGTAGTCTGGGCAAGTGCAAGGTGTCCCTTTGTGTGCCAAGTGGGACAATTATCAATTGTGTGGGTCATGAGAAAGGATTTGTCCTCCAATTGGTTCCAAATTGCTACCTAGAATAGGTGGCTGCAGCTTATTTCCAGAGTTTGAGTTTGCCTGGGTGTTCCAGCACACTCCACAAGGCAGTGCAGTGTAAATTAAGGTAGCACAGTGGGGTTCACCCTTGTTTTCTGGAGAGGAAATGCATCAGAGATGAAATTGGCCTTCAGGTCATAGTAAGTGTGAGAAAGAGGACTGAATTCCGTAACACTTTTCTGGTCTAAATCTGGAATAACAATTGCTTTAAGGCAGGTATTGTTACATAGATGTGCTGTAAGGGGGTTGCATTTACATGTCCAGTTGTAATCGCCGTGCAGCAGACTTTGACCCAGGCTGTGTGCAGAGCAGTACATGCAGGTGCATTTCAGGTGCTCCGTGGCTCTATTTCCTTCAAACAAGGAAGAAGGGTGTAACAATTCCCATCCGAGGTTTTGCATCCACTTCTAGAGCATCTCAGGAAATTAAACTTTAGATTAACCTAGATGACTTCTCTCTCATAAATTTTGTTTAAAATTTATAGATAGCTTCAGTTATCTACTGTTATCTCAGTGTCTGTTACTATCTCAAACACCGCTTCTCTTTGCTTTGTGTGCCACGGGGCTTTCCCTTCTACTTCCAGTGAAGGAAGTCCAGAGCTTTATACAGCAGTGTGTTTGCAGTCTCATCTATCTACTCATTAGTGTCTTACGTAATATTCATCTTTATCATAAACATGGTAATCCTTTTGCTTCTACATCGCAGGTTCAACAGTGACCACTCTTGATTCATATAACTCACAGCAAAGCCTCCATCTGTCTCATGGATTATAGATCTAAATTGGTAACTATCGCTTGCTCGCCATACTTATTAGAAGTTTTGTTAACTGCTCATAGTGTGTTTTCTGCTTCTGATAAATCTCTCCTGTAGCCCTAGCATATAAGACCTTAAGGTCACGGCCTTATTTCCTGTATGAGCTTTCGTCTCAGGACAGCATGTATTGGCTGTAAAATCCCATTAGTACATAGAGATCTAATTCAGAATTTAGTTTAAGTCATGAAATGGAAAAAAAAAACCAAACCCAACACTTCTATTTTTTCAGACAATAGAGCACATAAAGGAGTGGGTTTTTATAATAGAGAGTTAACTTACTTGTGCAGCTTGTGATCTGGAATATTTTTAATGTAGACATACTTCTTAATACTTTCTTGGGAAAACAAACAAACAAACAAATTATTAATAAGTCTATTGAAAAGAGGTTATGCTGCATGTGAGTAATGTCTCCTGTGGATTGCTGCTCAGTCCTGAACAGAAGGGGTGAAGAAGCCTTCTGGTTTAGCTGCTTTTTTGTTTCTTCCCTACCATGTGCCTAACAGCATGGTTTCTGTCATCATTTGTATCATTCTTAGAGCTCCTGACCGCGTTCCTGTGAGCCTGGGCAGACTGCTGATCTATTAGTCCCTAGTCGAGAGTGTTGACTTCAATACTACGTAATTCTTTTTTCTGCCTCTACCTTTATTTAGCCTCACTATTTTTGCTTTTAAGTGAGTATATCTGGTGATCTTTTTCTCTTCCTTCCACGTGTGTCAGTGACTGTGGATGGCCAGGAGTCAAACAGGTACAGCTGTGCTTGTGACTGTGCCTCCTCTTGTTCCACGCTGTTACCGCTCAGTCCTTTTAAATCATGTACTGCCTTTTTTTCTGTTCTTTGTTGGCTGATCCTGAGTGCAGAAGCAGTAAGATGGAAGTAAGAAAAAGGAGGTTATGTCTCTGGAAAAAGGATGATTTGATGATGACAAAACAGTTAAGCAATCGTTTTTAAATTGCCACTGGTATATAAACACAAAGCATTTGTGGTAAACGTCAGTTTGGGCTTTAGACATAAAGCAGTAACAAATATTAAAAGATGCTGCAGCTGTCAGAATTGCACAGCATGTGTAGTATAGAGAGTGCATACAGGTTGATCAAGTTAATACTTCAGATATTTCTTTCTCTGTAGTTTTAAGTGCCATCGATGCGAACCTATTTTGTTGTTAAGAGGGGTGGCTGAGGGCAGGCAAGGAGACCCTCCCAAAGGCAGGAGAGACACTGACTGAGAAGGGTGTTCTTTGGTGGCTAATAAGCTCTGATTAAGATTTTGTTGTACGAGTTTGAGGCTGAGATGCCTTAAGTTGCACTAGGAGAGGTTCAGGTTGGATAATAGGAAAGATTCCTTCTCAGCAAGACTAGTGATGCAGTGGTACAGACTGCCCCATGAGGTGTTGGGGTCACTGTTCCTGGAGTTGTTCCACAATTGGGGCAACGTGGCACTGAGGGACACAGTCAGTGGGCTTGGGGGCTGGGTTGGGGTTGGACTGGGTGATCTTAGAGGTCTTTTAGCACTGTAATGATTCGATGAACTTCCTCTCAGTGGCTTAGCGACTGCCATCCCACTGCTCAGTGCCCTCTGCTTGGCTCCCCAAGTTGTGCTGCATCAGGAGCTGAATCAACTTCAGAAGCAGCCCAGCAGAACAGGAGAAATAAAAGAGGAATTATTTTCAGCTGGGATCTGCCTGTTCTCTGAACGAGCTCATTGTGGAGTCCTGACAAGGAAAAGCCTGAAGCAACAAGAGAGTGAGAGAAAGGTTGGGATGAGGATTAGGAGAAAGAAATTGGGAGAATTGGCTTGATGATTTGAGCACAAATTCTGGGGCAGCCCTTTGAAGGCTTTCAGCTCGAATGCTTGTTGAATGCAGCTTCAATAATGATGTGCTATCAGGAATTAGTATTGCTGTCCTTGCAGTTTCACTTCAGTGATCAGAGGAGGAGGAAGCAAAAGTCAAATTCGAGCAAGGAGGTGGAATTCTCTTTGAAATGTTTGTGCTCCAGCACTGCCTGTGATGTTACAGAACCTGCAGCACCTCGTGCACAGCCCAGCCACCAGCGCCAGGCAGCGAGAGGTGTGCTTCTATGGCAACTGCGCTGCGTCCTCTGCAAGTATCCTCTGATCTTATTTTCTGCATTGTGCCTCTAACAAAGCTGCTCCAGCTGGTCGCCTTCTGCAATTGGTTTTTTAACTGGGATTGGAGAGTGGCATTTGTAGCCAGGTATGCTTTTGATTAGAGCAATCTAGGGGGGTAATGGAAGCAGCAGTGTATCATTTAAAAGAATGGCTTGGAGTTTGCAGGTGGTTTCCATAAAGGTGGTAATAGGAAGAAGACACTGATGGGTGGAAAACTATCTACCTCTAAATCTTTAAATTGCTCAGGCTTTTAGTAATGAAGTCTTCTCGTTTTTCCACTCACGGAGACTTGAAATGGAGGAGTGGAGATTTTTGGTTGTTTTTTTTTTTTCTTGTTATCAAGTGCAGGTGCATCGTCAATGGTACTTGTGGAATTACATCTCTGTATGAGGAAAAGAAGTTATTCAGAGAACTTTGCATTGTTTTTCAGCTCAGTGATGGCACAAATCAACTAATCTGGATTCCTAATTTCTGCAGCTGAGACTTCTGAGATTTGAGCTGAGGCAGTGAATGTGTGTGCCTGAGTGTGTGTGTCACCTGGATGCTGAGATGTGTTAGGAACTACAGGAGATGAATAGAAGAGCACTTTTCTGATGTGCTGGTGAGAAGAAAATTTGTACTTGGGTTGTTTTGGAGCGTTTGCAAAGCACTGACTAGCAGCTGAAGTTAAGAACTGTGTGTATCAGGGCTGGATTGTATCCTGCAGAGAACTGCTTGTGGGAAGACGTGACTGCAGTGCAGCTGTTGGGTATCAAGCTGCTGCTGGAGCTCTTCAGAGCTGTCCTCACAAACACAACCTGTGAAAGGTCTGTGTGGGAATGTTGCAGGTGTGTAATCAGAGATAAAGCAAAACCAACTCAGTTTAAACTTAAATAAAACATGCACAGCAATTTGTTTCCCCTCTGCTGGGAACTTAATTTAAACTGGGATATCAGCTTAACCTGGCTTTTGGACAGTGTTTTGGGTTTAAGGCTTTTTAAATACAGTGGAAATTAATCACTTTTTTCAGCAAGTGAAATCCAATGTGTGAGTGAGATTTGATAAGAAAGTGGACAAGCAGCTGCTTATCAGATCTGAGCTGCTGTTGCCCCTGTTTGCAGGGAGCCCTGACTGCTTATAAGGACCCAAACCTTCATCTGCTTGACAGCGGATTGATTTTGAAACAGCCTCAATGATCAAAACTGTGGCTTGTTGCAGGGTGCAACTTCCTTCCTCTCCTCTCTGTCAGTTAGTTCAGTCTGTTTCCTTGTCTTCTGCTATGGTACAAATAGGGGTGGAAAAGGCAGAGGTTTGTCTTCTCCTGCTGAGTGCTGCAGCTATGAAGCTATAGAGAAGCCCAGGTTTGCTTGGTGAGCTGAGGCTGTGTTGAGGTTTCAGACTCTGCAATTACTTTTTGGTTTCTGAATCCAGTTTAGGATCACAAGAGGATGAGGAGTCTAAGGCTGCATCTTTCATCTGTGTTTTCTCATGTTCCCCAACTCTCTGCTCCCTTTAGATGATCTAAAGAGATCATGTACCTTTAGAAATACTGCCTGCAGCATTTTATCACGTTCTGTTTAATTGCTGTCTTGGGAATAAGTAGCTCTTGGATGGATTTGAGGCTGATAGCTAAAATTTCTTTTGTCAACTGTTTCATCTTCTCCTGTTGCCAAGGTTTTATATATATATATTTTTCTTAATCTGTAAATATGGAGGGTAAAACTTTCGTAAGTATAAAAATGATGGTGGTGCATGAGCTAAAAATGCAGATTTTCCCTAGCAGTCTTTAAAAAAAAAATAAAATTATTTAGTTTCACCTGCCTCACTGGCTGCTCCACAAACAGCATAGCTGGATGCAATGTCAGAGATTTTAGTTCTTGTTGCACTACTTATTTATGGGAGCAACAGAGATGGCAAGCTGCCACTGGAGTAAAGAGTGCTGTTTCCCCAGTACTATCAGAACAGTCTGCAGTATCCATCTGTTAGTCTCCTACATACAGAGCAGTGCAACAGGTGTATTTCTTGGGTCTGGAGATCTTAGAACCAAGAGAGGATAGCAGAAATTTACAGGCATTATTTAAAAGAAGTTTTCAAGGTATGTTACTCTTCCTTTAGTAGATGTAGTGCTTAAGTCATTAGAAAGAAGAGAAGCTGAACATATGGTATGCAATTAAAGGAAACAGGTTCTGAATTGTCCCTTTACAATGTTTGTCATTTTTTTTTTTCCAGATGGCTTCAGTAACAGATGCCAGATACAGGCAGAAAGATACTTCGGATCAGAACTTTGATTACATGTTCAAACTCCTGATCATTGGGAACAGCAGTGTGGGTAAAACATCCTTCCTCTTCAGATATGCTGATGACACTTTCACGCCAGCCTTCGTCAGCACAGTAGGAATTGACTTCAAAGTGAAAACAGTTTATAGGAATGATAAGCGGGTGAAACTGCAGATTTGGGTAAGTGCCAGCATTTTCAACAATATCTCATACTAAACCCAGCAAAGACGGGACAAAACTAGCTTGCTTGGAGATTAGATTGTTGTTATGAACAACAAAATCTGTATTAATATGTTTCGTGTGGCTTTTTTTTTCTTTTTATTCCTGCAGCATAGCTTTCTCTTCTTAAGTTCTCTTTGTGTTGCTGCTTCAGTTGACTGATAAGACTCTTGATTTTGGTCTTAAGCTGATGCTTTTCAGTGTCAGGGGTCAATGTATTACTAAACTGAAGCAAAACCCAAAGCAAATCATTAGCCTTTTCATAGAACCTTTTGAGTGAGCTCTTGTAGGTAAAAAAAAAAAAAAAAAAAAATTCAGTGAGCACTGAGTGAGTGATCTGTAGACAGAGCTTCTGCTGTCACTTTTATACCCCTTGAATAAGGCAGTGGGACCTTCTTGCCTCAGAGATATGCTTCAAACTGCCTTGACAGAAATGGCTTCTTGGTGAATCAAATGGGAAAAGAGTTTGTGCAGGTGAGCTAGAGGGCCCGTCTGCTCATGGCTCCTTGCCTGACATGAATGACAGCCTTCTGGCCCAGTTTAAAGAAAAAATAAATAAAACGTTCCTGGGCTTCAGAGTTCCAGAGTGGAGGATCGAGGCCCAGCAATTGTGTCAAGTGTGTTCTTTCATTCTATAGAGTTGCAAATGACTTCAGTCGCATTTGTACCATAGTGTTTGTCCTGACAGTCCTTAACTCTCTGTGTCCCAATGGATTATAGAGTGTGTTTAAAAAAAAAAAGCCCAAGCTTGCATTGACCTATTTCAGAGTATCATGGGGCTCCAGCTGCAATTCCAGTTAGCAAGATTCTTCTGTTTATGTAAAAAGAAAATATTTGAAATAAGATATCGGGCTGCCTTTCTTTCAAATGATTTCCTGGAGCTAGCTCACCAACATGAAACAGCTGTTTTGTGGTTTCTCCCACAGATTTAAGCTTAAAGGTCAGAATTGAAGATTAGTTGAAACTGTATAGCATTTCTACCTAAACCCTATCACAGCCAGCTAAGGTCAGTCTTCTAATTGAACTGTGAAGCTTGATTTTTATATTTGATCTCTTATTACTGCATCTAAATCACCCTTTTCATTGTGACTATTTTGAATCCAGAGTGAGAATCTACACTGCAGAAATGTATTATTGTTTACTGCAACTGTATGATTCATTTTATGTGTTGCTGGGTGTTGGAAATATCCAGATAATTTTTGTCAGGATGGTATCTCTGATACAAGCAGATTTTATTTGCGATCGCAGTGGCAGGCGTCCAGCAAGCAGGAGCAGCCCTAAGGCCACAATGACAGCTTTTCTGCCTTGTTTCCCCCTTTGCCATGTTTGAGGATTTCAGGCAAATCCTTAATCCAGGTAAAAAACCTTAAACTTAAGAAAAGATATGCCAGGCTGATTCCTTTGTAGGTGCAAGCTGCAGAAGCTGTGATACTGGAGTTAACCAGCAACACTATTGATTTAAAATTTATGTTCAGTAAAAGGTTCATGTAAGTGCTTGATAGTTTCCAGACTGACTTGTGCTCTTCTCTATTTCCGTGTTCCTTGTGTGGATCCATGATGTGAGCTGTGGTTTAAGGACCTGAAACAGAAACTTTGTGTTTACTGCTCAAGGACAAAAAAACCCACAAAAAACAACAAAAAACAACCCCACGGAAAACGTTATTGAAACTTATTTGCTCCCTTCCTGTCCTAATTGCAATTTCAGTGTGTTGTTCTGGTTGCATGTAGTAGCATTGGAGCCAGTAGCGTACCAAAACTACGTTCCTGTGTGCAGGAATGAGGAATCTTTCTACCAGCCTGTCCACTGATTTACTTTTTAAAATGATTTACAACTGTTATTGAGTTTCTGTGTGTGTAGTTACCTTTAATGCTTTATTTTACTTGTAACTTCCCAGTTATGTTGGCTTCTTACCGTTGGTAAGTCTGAACTGAATCAGATTTAATCTGAAACTAAGAAAGGAAAGAGAAGGTGCAGATCTTTAAATGAACCTTTTCAAATGTCTGCATAAAAGCAAGAGAGGAGCATTTCTAGGATCACTGCTCTGAGCAGCCGCCTCTCAGTCCGTGGGTGCCTGCAGGTCTCTGGGAAGTGGATGCAGCTGCAGCATGCTCAAGGGGCTTTGCACAAGCAAGCTGGCTTTATGTCATGTAAATCTCAAGGCTGGGGAAAGTTCCCATGTCTGTCCTGCGCCACAGTGCAGAATGATCAGTGATCTTTGGGACTTCCTGCGTTGACTCTTGCCTGTGCTGGTCAGAAAAGCAGGATGTTTGGGTGCAGGGCCCAGCTACCTGGAGATCCTTGGCTTTTCTTACAGGTAGGGAAACCTTGTACTGCTTCAAGTGCCAACCTGTCAGGTATCATGATCAAAGATGAGAACTGCACTGTTTAATTTTAACATACTGGGCCTTTCACTTTGACATTAAATTCTCAATTACTCAAACTGATATTTTAAAAAGGCTTCTTACCAGTTGTGCCACTGACTGAGTGCCCTGGGAGATGACCTGTTTGTTTGAACAGACTTGAAAGGAAACTTTCTCTTGAGTTGGGGATGGGAGGAATGGGACCCATCAAAGGTATTTGTGGTGTGATAGCTCTGCTGCCAGAGAACAAAACAGTAAAATGCTCCTGAGAGGGATCATAGGGGATAGTTTTGTTGTTTTTTTTTTTTTCTTTAAAAGAGAACTGTAAGATCACTTGATTGTGCTTTAATTTCAAATCTTTCATGTCTTGCTTTGGTGATTTTGATATAAATTGCATAAAAGCCCTTTACTGAGGAAGTTCACATTGTAGCTGGATGAGGTTTGCTAATTATCCCTTCTAAATTAAACTATTATTTATGTAAATATATTAATATTATGTAGAGTTTCTAATATCTGCATAAATATAGTTCTAGGATTAGACACTTTTTACAGCACTGCCAGCTGTAATAATAGTTCCACATAAAACATCTCCCTAACTATATATTTGGGAGCTGCTTTATTATCCCTCTCTGTATGTGTGCTGTACACATGGCTACTTTTGTTCTTGACCATTGGTTTTGTTTTCCCAGAGCTGCTAGTTAGTAATCACAAAGGAAAGCTGTTACAATTTCAGATATTCATTTTTTTATTATGAGTAAATCTCAAAGGCAGCATTATTACATCCTTAGCAAACACATACAGTTCCCACTAAATGCAGTGCTCGGGTTGCCTAGCAGCTAGACAGGGCCACTGGCCAGATGCAAGTGGAAGCAAGGTGAATGAGTAAAAGGTTTTGGCTTCAGGTGAGAGCAGTGAAAGATTTGTTTTTCTTTTTCCTTCTGCACATTTTGATGTCTACTGATAATGACAGCAGATCTTTAGAGCAATGTTGTGCTGAGGGGACAAAGTCTGGTCCTTCGCGCTGGCTCAATCTAGGTTAATTCCATAGCTCCTTGCATAGCAATGTAGATTTACTGATGGAGAATCAGTGTCAGTGTTGAGCTCCAAACATCTGCACACCGTGCCACTTTGGGCACAGCATGGTGAATGATTTGTGTGAGGAATTTCATTGAGCTTTGTTGTACTTACAGCACCCTACACAAGTCTCATTTTTGTTGCGTGTGCTGTAAGTATATAAATGTGATTAATAAAAAACATAACTAAATACAGACTTTGGCAGCTGGTATCACAGTTGAAATTATTTGCAGCCCCCTTCTTAAGTAATTTCAGGCTAAATTTAACTTCAGATTGAAAGGCAAAAAGGATGTGCTGTTCAGAGACAACATTGGTCCCTTTCAAATAAGTCTTGATTCTATGATACAGACTACAGTATGATTTTTTTTTTTTAAGGTGCTGCTTATCAGACTTAAACTCCTAGGATGAGTACAGCTTTCTCTTTCCCATTAACAAAACTATTTCTATGGCTTAATTGCTGAAACCTGCAGGGGTCTGTGATGCTGGGGTGGATGTCTGGGACATGTGCTCTGGGGAAGAGGGTACAAAGCACCATTGCTCTGTATTTTTGGGAAGGATCTTTACCAACAGAAATATGACAACTGTTAATTATGCTGCTTGGCAGTTACCATTACAACACAGGAAAGTGTAAGCCAAAATAAAGGCCATGCTGTGCAGCCATCTCCAAGGCAAATATGCAGTGTTTTAAAAAAGCTTTTTGTGTCAGTTGTTGCCTGGATGACGGGATGTTGCTGTGCAGCTCTACTCACAGGGTAGAGATTCTAGAAAGTAACACTGGTAATGAGGTTCACCCTTTCATTTAAAGGAGGTAAATTTAGAACGCCATCATACTTGATTGTAAATTTTAATGTTAATTGCACACTTAAGCTGACGCTGATTATGCATTTCAGATGAGAGAATCATCTATTCCCCTGGCATCCTATTTCCATCTCGTTTTTGATAAGATCCTTATTAGTACTGGCTTTAAACTCTAGTGCTTGCACAAAGCTTGTTTCTAAAAAAAGATGAGTTCTGTAACTTTAATGTATAGATGGAATAGTGAAGGATGTCTCTAGAGATCTGATGAGCCTGATTCTGTCCAGTGGGTTCACAGCTGTTGTGAGATCCTCTGTTTTTACATATAAGGCAAAGAACTAAAATGGGTGAAGTTATGCTAGTGAAAAAATAACGTTCCTTCTTGTAAGGGAGGCGAGGGTTGTATCTTATCTGCAGCACTGGGGGATTAATGGGTCCCAAGAAGAAAAGTCATCATGGCTGATTGGCCATGAAGCACTGCTTCTGATGTTAAAACACAGTGTAGAATATCTGACCAGAGAAGAGGTACTGAAAGTGTAATTCAAACCACGGTCTTGGTTATACCTCAGTAGTGATGCTCCTGCTTTGGGAAGGACTTGATGCTCGTGCCACGCTGAATGTTCTTTAGAATTAGATTTAAAACCGTGCTAAAAGGGAGAGATGGAAAAATGTAGTGATAAAAACCTTCACAGTTCATTTTTCTACTCGCTTAAAAAGGAATAAAGTCTTTT